ATGGAGCTTAAACCTCTCCTCCATATACCCACCAACCTCTACCATTAGGGGGCGCCACTGCTCTTTTGCCCCTCAATGTCCCACAATTCCTCTTTTCCTCCTCCAAGCTTCCCAGGTTGTCCCCCTTCCTACCTCATGGTAGGAATGGTGGAGAAATTCAATTAAGGTCACAGCAAAAAGCAGATCTGCCTCATTCTCACTTGGCGAAACATGTGCTGGGCCCAGGCTTAACCCGAGCAACGCGGTCCAGGTCCGGTCCTGAATCCAAGGGTTCTGCGAGGAGTCAGTCCGACAGGACCAAGGCATAAACCAGGCAAGGTCAGGCACAGGATCACAGGCAGGTTCTGGCAAACAGCAACGTTGCTCCCGCAACCTGGGGCAGGGTCCAGCAGCCTTTTATCTCTGTCGGGGTAACGGCTGTTCCTGATCCCCCGGCGATTCACCTCCCCGTCTCGCCCGAAGGCAAGCACTCCTCCTGCGAGTACTCAGGTCCCTCCTTCTCTCAGACCTCAGTCTCTGCAGCTCGGGAGACGTCGGTGGGTTACTAGACCCAGAGGCCGCCTCAGCCTCCCCTGACCCAACCGGTAGTGGAGCAGCTGTAAGTGATGGCCCAGCTGGAGGCAATGAAGTCATCCCTGCATCTGGAGCCAGGGCAGGATCAGGCCCCTGACTCGGCTCAGCTGGTGCTTGTTGCAGGGGAACCTGTGCAGACTGGGGCTCTTCAGAATCAGGCCCCAGACTTGGTTCAGATGATGCCTGAGGCAAAGGATCTGGTGCAGACTGAGACTCCTCTGGTTCTGAGTCCGAGCCCGAGTCCCAGGCCATCACACAATGATACCAAAAATCCAAACACAGCCATCCTCCAATGATATCGTGCCCTCCTCCAGCTGAGTGATAGGTTCAGGACTGCACATGCTAGGGTATGTGTGCCCCCCCCCCAAAGATATCCACAAATGCATTGTGTTAGACAAAATTGCTTGTGCAGGTATGGCAACAACAACAACAACAAATTTTATTTATACCCCACCCTCCCCAGCCAAGACTGGGCTCAGGGCGGCTAACATCAGGTATTAAAAACAATTGATTAAAAGACAACTTAAAAACAAGATTAAAACACAACATTAAAATGCAGCCTCATTTCAGTAGAAACTCAAATCCAAACCTTTTTGAGGATGAAAACAAACATCAGGCAAAATTGCATACAAATATGTGTCTATTGAAGGGACGCAGGTGGTGCTGTGGGTTAAACCACAGAGCCCAGGACTTGCCGATTGAAAGGTCGGCAGTTCGAATCCCCGCGACGGGGTGAGCTCCCGTTGCTCGGTCCCTGCTCCTGCCAAACTAGCAGTTTGAAAGCACATAAAAGTGCAAGTAGATAAATAGGTACCGCTCTGGCGGGAAGGTAAACGGTGTTTCTGTGCGCTGCTCTGGTTCGCCAGAAGCGGCTTAGTCCTGCTGGCCACATGACCCGGAAGCTGTACGCCGGCTCCCTCAGCCAATAAAGCGAGATGAGTGCCGCAACCCCAGAGTCGGCCACGACTGGACCTAATGGTCAGGGGTCCCTTTACCTTTATGCGTCTATCGAGAAATTCGCACTGATGGAATGAATTTTCACGAGGACTTAACTTTTTCCTCCTTCGCAAACCCATATGGAAATGTGGAGATCTGCACTTGAATTGAGAGACTGAAATTGAAAAATCCGCGCCTCCTACCAGTGCTTTCAAAGGAGGCTTCAGTGATGGTTTTAAAGTAGGGCTGGACCAGTTCATGGAGGGAGGAAGAGCTTTTAGCCAAGATGGCTCTGCCCTGTCTCCACAGTCAGAGGCAGAAATGGTTCTGAATACCAGAACCGTAGGAGAAGAGAGAGCTCTTGCGCTTGGCTCCTGTTGCTGGTTTCCCTTTGGTGTATCTGGGTGACCAGCATGAGACCAGGATGCTGAACTAAACAGCATCCCACCCCCTTTGGCCGGCTCCAGCATCCAGGCTTTTCTGACATTCTTATGGAACCTCCAGGTCCAGAGGGAGTCTACCCAGATTTCTAGGTTCTTTCCCCCCCAAAATTTTTTTTATTCATTTTATAACACAACTAAACAGCACAAACAGAAAAAACAAACAATACAAACAAATTATTATCTTATCCTTATTTTTTCTAAACATTGTTAGGTGGGCTTCCCCAAGTGCCCCCTATCTGATTTTCACTTTATCTCATCTTTAGCAGTTTACATATATCATAATTTCAAACCATTTTTTAAAAATCACGTTTACTTTTACCATAAAAATCTTCACATTTTATCACTTACAAATACAGTGGTACCTCGGGTTACATACGGTTCAGGTTACATACGCTTCAGGTTACAGACTCCGCTAACCCACAAATAGTGCTTCAGGTTAAGAACTTTGCTTCAGGATGAGAACAGAAATCGCGCGGTGGCGCAGCAGCGGCAGCAGGAGGCCCCATTAGCTAAAGTGGTGCTTCAGGTTAAGAACAGTTTCAGGTTAAGAACGGACCTCCGGAACAAATTAAGTGCTTAACCCGAGGTACCACTTCTTCCAATCTTCTTCCACCGTCTCTTCTCTCTGGTCTCGGAGTCTCCCAGTCAGTTCGGCAAGTTCCATATAGTCCATCATCTTCATCTGCCATTCTTCTATAGTTGGCAAATCTTGTTTCTTCCAATTCTTCGCTAGTAATATTCTCTCAGATGTTGTGGCATACAGAAAAAAAGTAACATCCTTCTTGGGGATTTCAGCCCTAGATTTCTAGGTTCTTTGGGACATTTATAGTCACTGTGAGAACAAGATTTTGGACTGGATGGAGAGCTCTCCTAATGTTGCTGTTGTTGTTTAGTCATTTAGTTGTGTCCGCCTCCTCGTGACCCCCTGGACCAGAGCACGCCAGGCCCTCCTGTCTTCCACTGCCTCCCGCAGTTTGGTCAGACTCATGCTGGTCGCTTCGAGAACACTGTCCCACCATCTCGTCCTCTGTCATCCCCTTCTCCTTGCGCCCTCCATCTTTCCCAACATCAGGGTCTTTTCCAAGGAGTCTTCTCTTCTCATGAGGTGGCCAAAGTCTTGGAGCCTCAGCTTCAGGATCTGTCCTTCCAGTGAGCACTCAGGGCTGATTTCCTTCAGAATGGAGAGGTTTGATCTTCTTGCAGTCCATGGGACTCTCAAGAGTCTCCTCCAGCACCAGAATTCAAAAGCATCCATTCTTCGGCGATCAGCCTTCTTTATGGTGCAGCTCAGAATAAACCACCCCAATTGCATAAATGCGTGCACCCTTTGGGTGATTTCTTTGGGGGTGAGGGGCGGGAGAGGAGAGGAAGTTTCCCCACCTCGCTCGACCGTTCTGGAAGCTTCCGGCAGAGAAGAAACCCAGGAAGTCCTACATTAGCGGGAGGCACACTCAGGACAGAAACCAAGCAGGGTTTTCTTAGAGGGGGGAAGCTATACGGAAGGGAGCCGAGAGTTTTTTTTGAGCGAGGGATGGAGACGGAAGACTTCAGTCACCAGAACTATTGATTTGGCATTAAATTCCCTCCTTTCTTCCCTCCTCCTCCAATCCATGCAATTAAACAGAGGCATTAAAAACAAGGGAGCCACGTTCTTTTGAGGTCACCGTCCCCTTTAAAAGCAAAACTTTAAAAGCGTTGGCCCCTTTGGAAAGGCTGGTTTAAAGAGGGACGCAGTAATAAGGTGCCCTACACAGAACCAAATCCGTCTAGCTCAGTTTTTAAGGGAACAGCCTGAAAAGGCATCTCTAGGCAGGATTTGGGTACGCTTCTGTTTGAAACTCCCGAGAGCCACAGCCAGCCATGTAAACAAATGGCTCAAAGGTCTGACTCACTATAAGACAGCTTCCGATATCACTATTGCTCAGCATTTTCCTCAGAACCATGAGGACTAGAGACTTGGTTTATTTTTAAGGGGACAGCTGTAGCTCAGGAACAGAGAGCCAGCTTTGCATGCAGAAGAGTTTAATCCCTGAAAAGGCATGTCCAGGAAGGGGGTTTGGGGCGACTCCCAGTCTACAACGCTGCCGATCAGTGCAGACAGTATTGAGCCAGATCAGGGAGGTCCAACTTTTCATACCAATGGCATAATCCAATAGTTTAATCTGCCAGTCCACTCTGGTAGGGACCTTGTCGTCTTTCCAACTCTGGCCAAGCAATATCCTTGCAGCTGCTGCGGCATACATAAACAGTCTTTTCTGTTCCTTCGTTCTCTCTGCACCTACAATTCTTAACAAAAAGGCTTATTTTAAACATCCCCCCCCATTCATTATATATTTCCCAGAATTCCTTTATTCCTTTACAATTCCACCACATGGGGTAAAGGGTAAAGGGACCCCTGACCATTAGGTCCAGTCGTGGCCGACTCGGGTTGCGGCGCTCATCTCGTTTTATTGGCCAAGGGAGCCAGCGTACAGCTTCCGGGTCATGTGGCCAGCATGACTAAGCCGCTTCTGGCAAGCCAGAGTAGCGCATGGAAACGCCGTTTACCTTCCCGCTGGAGTGGTACCTATTTATCTACTTGCACTTGACGTGCTTTTGATCTGCTAGGTTGGCAGGAGCAGGGACCGAGCAACGGGAGCTCATTATATATTTCCCAGAATTCCTTTATTGCTTTACAATTCCACCACATGTGGTAAAAGGTGCCACCCAAATCTTTTAAGTGCTTAGGGCCTCTGAAGGTCTTGATCCAGCCCAGCATGAGGCTCTGGAAGGCTCCCGAGCCCCTCCACCTCCTTCCCAAAACTGGGAAAGCACTAACCAGGCTTTGGGGAGGAGTTGGGAGAGGACCCTGCCAGAGCCATCGCACCATCTTTCCAAAGCCCAGCACCTCACTTACCTGGTTTGGGGGAAGGGCTGCAAGGGTGGGGGAGGCCAAAAAAAGCCTCAGGGGCCACATTGAGCTAGAGGACCCAATGATCTGGCCCTGCGGTGCGTCACGAACGCCTTCTCATTTTCTCTTTTCTTCTCCGTTTTGCTGCCTCCCACCAGCCTGCAAAAGGAAAGAGCAAGATCAAGGCAAAGCCGACCGAAACCACGTCCCTAAGCGCCACCGCCTGGTCTTCACGGACATCCAGCGCCGCACGCTCCACGCCATCTTCCACGAGAACCAGCGCCCTTCCAAAGACCTTCAGATCACCATTGCCCAGCAGCTGGGCCTGGAGCTCTCCACCGTCAGCAACTTCTTCATGAACGCCCGGAGGCGCAGCCTGGACAAGTGGATGGAGGAGGGCCGCTCCCCGTCCTCAGGGGGCCACGCCACCAACCCCTCCTCGGCCGTCACCTGCACCAAAGCATAACGGGCCTCCCTTTGGCACCTTCTGGCGTCCCCCAACCACGACCCTCCGTTACACCAAAGATGGCAGGATGGCCTTTGGCCAGGAGACAAAATGGCGGAAGGGCGCTTGGCCAATGCGCTAAGTGGGAGGGGAAAAACCAGGATGGGGGCGGTGTGGGGGGGTGTAATATGACTTTACGGTTTCATTCCTCTCTGGATCTGACCTCGTGGCAAAAACTAGCCGGATCCTAAATGAGAACAAAGCTTTTTGCGACCTAAAAGGAGGGTTATGGCGAAAACCGGACGGCGGAGAGCGAGGAAGGTGTTTCCCGGGCAAAGGACGGCATCTACGGTCAAGGCTATTCCAAAGACTTTCTGCGTATGTTTCCCCGCTGAGACCTTGTTCTGTGTTGTTCCTGTTGAGGAGGCAGTGCCATCTGGTGGCGAGAGGGAAAAAAGAAGCGTGTTTGGCGGTGGGGTCTATGGGGGAGAAACTAGGTTATTTTCCATTTTTCTCTTTCAGTGGGAAAGCGGCAAGGCTTAAAAAGATGGGAGCATCCTTGGTTTCCACCACCCTGGGAAAGCAAGCCAGGAAACTGATCTAATATGTTGCACATCTGGAGGAGGAGTAGAAATACCACGTACCAAATCCCAGGTTAACCAGGAGGGGTTGAATTGAATGCCTCCTTCTCAATGCAAAGGGAGAGAACCAATGTTTTCGGTCGAGTGCCACATTGCCTCTGGGGTGATCTCTCGGGGGCCGTGTGCTTGCGGTGGGCGGGGCTGCTGCCAGGAGTGGGCGGAGCCAGCACCCAAGATGGGCAGGGCACTTCAAGGCACAGAAAATGAGGTGCCCCCCCCCCCAGTTTTGTCAGGCTGGTGATAAAAGCCATCCATTGACCAGGGAAAACCTAGGGTTGCCATATATAATAATAATCATAATAAATAATAATTTATTATTTATACCCCACCCATCTGGCTGGGTTTCCCCAGCCACTCTGGGCGGCTTCCAACAAAACACTAAAATACAGTAACCTATTAAACATTAAAAGCTTCCCAAAACAGGGCTGCCTTCAGATGTCTTCTAAAAGTTTGGTAGTTATTTTCTCTTTGGCATCTGGTGGGAGGGCGTTCCAAAGGGAAGGCGCCACCACCGAGAAGGCCCTCTGCCTGGTTCCCTGTAACTTGGCTTCTCGCAGCGAGGGAACCGCCAGAAGGCCCTCAGCGCTGGACCTCAGTGTCCAGAATTTCCTGGACATAGCCAGAAACAATGTCCGGATGGAAATCGCTGTAATGTCCTCTATTTTGAGATTTTGTAAATCTCAAAAAACCAAAAACCCTCAGCAACTTTTGTGTCTGGGTTTTCACTTTTTGAAATACGGCAGCCCCACCCTGCCCACACCTGTGCCTTTGAAGAGCAGTTCAATCTGCCAGCAAAATACGTCAAGGTGTGGAAATTAGCATTGCTGCTACCAATGTGGACAAACTGGGGCAGGAGCAGGTGGTAAAAATGGAGAGCCTTACCAATGATCCACTTTGATACAGGCGCCGCGTAAGCTTTTCTGATTCAAAGTGAAATATACTCAGAATCGAGAGTGGATTTCACGCTCTTTATTCAGCTCATAGTGGTGAGGAGGAATGAAAGTTCCTCCAAAGTATCTGCTTTATACACCTTATTTACACAATGGGCTGCACGTGATTGGCTAATTCCAGAATTCTCCTGTAGGCCAATCAGGTTGTGGATTCACTTCCATCTGGAGCTGGATTGGGTGGCTCCTGCGGAACAATCATACTGCTGCATTGTTCTAGGACCAATCAGACTGCTGCATCCTGAATCCTATTGTTTTAGGACCAATCAGACTGCTGCATTCTGGATCCTATTGTTCTAGGACCAATCAGACTGCTGCATTCTGAATCCTATTGTTCTAGGACCAATCAGACTGCTGCATTCTGAATCCTGTTGTTCTAGGACCAATCAGACTGCTGCATTCTGGATCCTATTGTTCTAGGACCAATCAGACTGCTGCATTCTGGATCCTATTGTTCTAGGACCAATCAGACTGCTGCATTCTGGATCCTATTGTTCTAGGACCAATCAGACTGCTGCATTCTGAATCCTGTTGTTCTAGGACCAATCAGACTGCTGCATTTTGGATCCTATTCAACTCAGTACATAACACAAAGCATGTTCAAAGTGCTGGTTCCCAGATGGCGTGTCGAGGGAGAACAGCCTTGGAGGCATCTGACGCCTGCCCATAGCACCCCTGGGCGAGTCAGGGGTCTGGCTTTTGCCTCTTTGGGCCAGCAGGGGGCAAGCAAATATCGGCAGTTTGTAACTTACACAGAAAGGGTGCCCATCCCTTCTTCAGGTGATTTCGAAAGTAAACTCGTGGGCCGGCAAGCTGAGGACAGCCAGCGATTCTTCAGTTGTGATTCCTGCATTGCAACTTCCTGCATTCTGGCTTATGACTTTTTAACCCCGGAAAATCCTCTAGAGAGTCAGGGGTCGTCTTATACGCCGGGTATGGGTTCGCTGGGCAGCAGCAATGGGTGGTGGGCTCCACTCCGCGCTGGGAGGAAGCCGCTCAGCAAAGCCCGCTTAGCATCGCTGGACAGCTTCCTCCCGCCGTGGAGCTCGCCACCCACTGCCACTGCCCAGCGAAGCTGCCGTGTATAAGCTGGGTGTGTAAGTCGACTCCCTAAATTGGCAGTCGTCTTATATGCCCAGTCGCCTAATACGCCGGAATCTACAGTAGTTGAAATGGATTATTTGTGTTTGTAGCACCAGACCCACCTCCCACCGCAAACCAGACTGTCTGGTTCTTCTCTGTTTTGACTTAGGCCTTGTTTACAACCTTGGGGGACTTCCGTCGCTGGTCAGGTGGGCAGACCTCCAGGGCTGACCTGAAGTTTCCAGGTGTGCCTGCCCCACTGCAGGTGAGGAAACTTTTGTTCCATTATTTTATGCACAGCAAGAGCTGTTCTCTCTCACAACATGCTTTGGCACAGTTTGAGAGCGATTTCCCCAAGTTCTTCCAGAAGCTGACACCCAAGACCCACCTGCCTTTATCTGCAAGGCGGGGTGGGAAACCTCAGGCCCTCCAGGCCTCTCTATGCGGCCCTCAGAGGCCTCTCCAGGCCACCCCTGCTCTCTAGAGAGGGCTGGGAAAGGGTGTGCAGAAACTAGCCAGCTGTACAAAGTCATTTACATCCGTTGTTCCACCCACTTTTGCTCCTGGACACTATTGGCAAGCGGCCCCCAGAAGGTCAGCAAGAGTAGAATGCGGCCCCTCAGGTGGAAAAAGGCCTCCCATCCATCTTAAGGATTCCTCAAATAATGTAGGGATGCATTTTCAACCCTTCTCTTGGGGCACACCAAATGAAACTTATTTTAGCTTTGGAAGCCCTCCTAGGTGAAATTGCCATAACCGGCTTTTGCTTTTCTCTGATTGGCTGCTGACATGACAACATATCCCCGGGTGGGTGGGTGCAAGGATAGCTCCTCCCCTTCCTGCCAGAACATTGCACCACTGGTCACTGCCTCCTCCTCCCTGTTTCCCTATTGGGTGTTCCCACTGTCCGAAATTTGACAAAATTTGCTGGCGGGGGGCGGGGGGAACGAAAAGAAACTTCTACCTCACTTTGTCTCTTGCACCGAAAACGATACCAAAGATGATTTTTGTTTGTTTGTTTCGTTTTGCAAAGGAAGTCTTTTGTGCGTCCGTGTGGGTGAGCATGTGTTTTGAGGATGCGTGGGTAAGGTGGGCGCGTGTGTCGTGACATAGATATATTTCTATCTATTTTTTGCATGGCTTCTCAAAAAAGAAAAAAAAAGGGAAAAAACGTTACTCTGTTTCGTGTCAGAAACTCTCAGCTTGCGCCGGGCAGAGAGGGAGACGGCTTTTCCTGCTGCGAGGGAACGACCACATCCCCGAATTTGCCACGACACAACCCAGACCCCCCTTTCCCCGCTACCACGATCCATGCAGGTGCTTTCGAGAAGAAATAAATGCACTTTAGTATTTATGCCACAGGGTTAGGAGCTGGAAGGGCCTTCTGAACAGATGCTGAGCCACAAAGTTTTCCTTTTTTAAAAAAGCAAGCCACAGCGATGTTTTGTCCACCCGTCCCTGTTCCAAAATTTAACAGCTCTGTGACTTAGGAAGAAACAGGAAGAAACAGAGCGCAGCCCAGGTCATTCCATCGAAAGATGTTTATGCAATCTGCACACTGTGTCAATTTGGGGGTTTTATTGTGTGTGTGTTAAAGCTTACTGGTTTTACTGAGGCAGAGGCCTCAGTTGGCAATTGCAGGGGGGAAGGATGGAGGGGGAAGCAGCAGCAAGGCAACGGGGGACAGAGTTGTGTGTGTCCTCAGGTGTGATGGAGGAGGCCTGAGTCCAGGTGGCCCTCTGGACCCATCAGCTCAGGCACCAAAAAGGAAAAGTCTTGGGCTGGTCCTGCCTCCAGCTCCCAAACCAGCTGCACTGACAACATCTACCAAATCAGGCAAGGCCACAGGCACACCACATGTTGAAAAGCACTATGGCGGCACTTGAAACAGCCGCTGCTGCGCCCAGAGGATCCTGGGAGCTGTAGTTTTAAGCATACTGGTAGTTGCTATGGAAACCTCCCCCCCCCCCTTCACCTTAGAGAGCTACAATTCCCTGAGCTCCCTGTGAAGAGGAATTGATCATTCAACCACCCTGAGAATTGCAACTCCGGGATTTCGCCTAACGGCTCTCCCGCACGCTTAAACTACAGTTCCCAAGATTCTTTGGGGGGAAGGCACGACACTTTAAAACAGTATCTAGAGTGCTTTAAATGCATGCGAATGTAGCCTTTGCTAACAAAGCACTACAGTGGAATACACAAACACCATATTGGTTTTAGGTTGTGGGTGTGCCAGCGGAATTTGGCATGCAGACCTGCATTGACAGGTGACTGCAATAAAAACTACCTTTATGATGCAGCAAATAAGGGAGCGGATACAGGCAGGAGGAGATTTTCTTTGACGTCTCACCAATGATGCAAAGCTGCCCCCCTCCCCTCCTACCACACACCAGAATTACCTTCAAAACACAAAGCACACTGGGTGGCAAGGTGCGTTCTGGAGACAGTGCGATGCC